TGTGTGTGTGTGTGTGTGTGTATACAGTACAAGAAGCAAATAAAATGTTATGGCACTGCATTACTGGATGAAATGCCAGTGTTTCAGTATATAATACCTCACAAAAGAGAACATCTTTTAAATAACAAACTACCAAACTGCTCTTCTAAGGTCACTTCTATTGTCCCATATACAGCATATCATTATCTAGAGAAACAAACAATCCACATACCTATAAACGTGACACAATCACAGGGAAAAGTCATCGAGGAACTCCTACTCAATTTGATGTTAAGTGCAAAGCCATTTAACCAAATGCAGTATGTGTCTGTGTTGAGGTAATCATGTCTCTTAAAAATAGAACTACCAATCCTGTATGTGAGTCCAATTTAAATTACATTCATATACAACAACTTATCTTGGTTTCCACCAGATTTCAGCTACATAAATTTTCAACATCCCTCAATTTTTGCTGTACAGTACCCACACCAGTCAGATGGCTATTTCAATGTACAGAGGTTATAGGTCTCTTCAGCGTCCCGGACATCGTGCTCAGAGATAAACCTGTAACACTACGAAGGGTACATGACTACACGGCATCTGTGTTCAGCTCATGGTAGGCTGTATAAAATGTAAAGAAAAACAAAAGATCCATATCAAATGTTGACATAAAGCAGCAACATATTTTAAAGCTGCTGCGTGTCACTGGTGCACAGCTTCAAGGCCAGCATCAGTAACAATTTGAGGGTGCAGCATGGTATAGATATTTTCAACATCTGTGAAGGCAAATGTGAATTTACTTACATGCAACGATATGTGTACAAGTTTATACAGCAACATGCTCTCAATCACACATGCTTTTCTGCCAAATCCTTGGACTGTATCAGCATTGATAACATGTCCAGGTCCTAAAATGGCCTGCCTCCACTTCAGGTCTTACTTCACTCACTGTAAACATTTGGTGCATTATGAAATGAATTACACCAAACATGGGAGCTTCTTCTTTTCAAAAAAATTTCTCCTTTTTATTATATATAGTTTTTCTTGTACCGTTTTCATAAACGTAATTAATTTGTTTGTAAATCATTACATTCTGTTTTTATTTGCATTTTACACAGCATCTGACCGTAAAGAAAATGTGATTCTGTTACACGAAACTTTCCAAAGACTTCAACCAGTGTGAATAAATATCCATAGCCTCACTCCTCACTGAGCTTCACAGGCTAGTAGTTGGGCTGGTTGGTTCTTCAACTTTGGCTTTCAGGGCCCAGATGCATCTTTAGATTCATTTACATCACACTCTTAGAAACTGTCTCTCTTCATACTCTCTGTAGCTTTTTTTCATAGTTGATCTTCAGCGAGAGCTTCTTATATGCTATGTTCCCTTGTTAGTTTTTCAGTAATTTCTACTTTGTAGGATATATCCTGAGCTAAAAGAAAAAGAAGTATGCTAAGTAATCTGAAGTGTTCCTTTGTCATTACAGTGCATATATAACAGGAGGAGTCTTGAGTTCATGAGTCTTACCCCATTCTTTTGGATTTCAAATTGTTATTACCTCCCAGAAATTTAATTTGACATATTTAAATGATTTTGTTGTAAAAATTTGGTCTTTCTTTTTCCATTTTCTGAGACTTTCCAGTTTTTTGAGTCAATCCTCAGAAAGATGCTCCATCAACCTTAACAGCGCCCAGGGCTTGAACTAAAAGAGGAATAAAAGAAAATTATAAGAGAGGCAAAGATAGCTTATCGTGGGTAATAAAGGGTTATACTTTTTCTGTATAACCATGTCATTTTTCTTATGATGTTGTAAATTAATAAAAGAAGCATCAAGACTGTGATATTACTGAGGGAACACTTGCCCACATTGTGAACATAACTACGACTTTTCAAAACCTACATCCTTATAAATAGTCATATCATTTGGGAGATATCACACAAAAACAGCACCAGAGAGTAATGTAAGAAGACGTTCTTCTGAAAAGGACAGGTGGAAAAGTTGTGCTGCTAATAGAGACTCACCTTGTGAGAATCACACCTTCATGGTGTGGGTTGAGATGGGAAAGTCAGCCGAGGAAGGGGGAGAAACTATGTTTGCTGGGGAGACTGGAGAACTGGAGGCACACTGAGCTGCAGTGAGAAGAGACGGGCAGAAGGTGAAAATGTAAAACAAAACAGAGCAGTGATTTCTTTCCACTCAGACATGGAGCATCAAAGAAGCTCCAGACTGGGCTTCATGTGATTTGAGACACTGCAAAGTAACACAAGTACAGTTGAATACGCTCAAGGACACATTTCTTCTGTATTTTTGCAAAGTAAAGATGAGAAGGTTAAAATTTTAGATAATATTTACATCTTTTTAGTGTGTCACCATGCATTGTTTTTAAATGAGCATTTAGAGTTAACTGAAGCTGATAGTCCTCTCCGTGAATCACTACCTTACCGTGGTGGAGGGGTTTGTGTGTCCCAGGGATCCCAGGGGCTATGTTGTCTGGGGGCTTTTGCCCCCTGGTAGGGTCTCCCATGGCAAATTGGTCCTGGGTGAGGGACCAGACAAAGAGCGATTCAGAAGACCCTTATGAAGAGAACATCGAGGGAACAGTTTACCCTGCCCGGGATAGGGTTACCGGGGCCCGCCCTGGAGCCAGGCCCGGGGAGGGTGCCCGAGGGCGAGCGTCTGGTGGCCGGGCACAGCCCGAAGAGGAGACATGGGCCCATCCTCCCGCAGGCCCACCACCCGCAGGAGGCGCCATAGGGGTCGGGTGCATTGTGTGCCGGGTGGCGGCCAGGAGCAGGAGGCCCTGGCGGACTGACCCCCGGCTGCCAAGACTGGCAATAGGGACATGGAATGTCACCTCTCTGGTGGGGAAGGAGCCTGAGTTAGTGCGTGAGGTTGAGAGGTACCGGCTAGATATAGTCGGGCTCACCTCTACGCATGGCTTGGGCTCTGGAACCAGTCTCCTGGAGAGGGGCTGGACTCTGTCTCAGTCTGGAGTTGCCCCTGGTGAGAGGCGGCGGGCTGGGGTGGGTATTCTAATATCCCCTCGGCTTGCTGCCGGTACGTTGGGGTTTTTCCCGGTGGATGAGAGGGTTTGTTCCCTGCGCCTTAGGGTCGGGGAACGGGTCTCGACTGTCATCTGCGCTTGTCATCGGTGCTGGAAGGTGCTCCACGTGGAGACTCTGTTGTCCTGCAGGGAGACTTCAGTGCTCACATGGGTAACAACTGCGAGACCTGGAGGGGCGTCATTGGGAGGAACGGCCTCCCTGATCAGAATCCTAATGGTGTTTTATTGGACTTCGGTGCAAATCACAGTTTGGCCATAACGAACACCTTGTTCGAACATAAGGTTGTCCATAAGTGCACGTGGCACCAGGACGCTCTAGGCCGTAGGTCGATGATCGATTTTGTAATCGTATCACCAGACCTGCGACCATATGTTCTGGACACTCGGGTAAAGAGAGAGGCTGAGCTGTCAACTGATCACCACCTGGTGGTGAGTTGGATAAGGTGGCGGGGGAGAACGCTGGACAGACCTGGTGCACCTAAACGCGTAGTGAGGGTGTGCTGGGAAGGTCTAGCAGAGGCCCCAGTCCGCGAGAGCTTCAACGCACACCTCCGGTAGAGCTTCAACAGCATTCCGAGGGAGACTGGGGACACTGAGTCCGAATGGACCATGTTCAGCGTCTCCATTGCCGAAGCTGCTACATTGCGCTGCGGCCGCAAGGAGGTTGGTGCCTGCCGTGGTGGTAATCCCCGAACCAAATGGTGGACACCGGAGGTGAAGGGAGCCACCAGGCTGAAGAAGGAGTCCTATCGGGCTTGGTTAGCCTGTGGGACTCCAGAGGCAGCCGACAGGTATCAACAGGCCAAGCAGAATGTGGCTTGGGCAGTGGCTGAAGCAAAAACTCGCGTGTGGGAGGAATTCGGAGAGGCCATGGAAAAAGACTTTCGGACTGCCTCGAAGAGATTCTGGCAAACCGTCAGGCGTCTCAGGAGGGGAAAGCGGTGCTCTACCTGCACTGTGTATAGTGCTGGCGGAGCGCTGCTGACGTCGACTGAGAAAATTGTCAGGCGGTGGAAGGAATACTTCGAGGACCTCCTTAATCCCACTGAGACGTCTTCCAAGGAGGAAGCAAAGTCTGGGGATGAGGGGAATGAGTCGCCAATTTCCGGGGGCGAGGTCACTGAGGCAGTTAAACAACTCCTTGGTGGCAGAGCCCCTGGTGTTGATGAGGTCCGCCCCGAGTTCCTGAAGGCTCTGGACGTTGTAGGGCTGTCCTGGTTGACACGCCTCTACAAAGTTGCGTGGGGATCCGGGGCAGTACCCCAGGACTGGCAGACCAGGGTGGTGGTCCCCATCTTTAAGAAGAGAGACCAGAGGGTGTGTTCCAACTACAGGGGGATCACACTCCTCAGCCTCCCTGGGAAAGTCTATGCCAGGGTGTTGGAAAGGAGACTTCGTCCGCTAGTCAAATCTCAGATACAGGAGGAACAAT